CTTTGGAGATGATTTTACAAGACGAAAAGGTCGAGTGAGGATTTTGATTGCGAGAAGAACACAAGGTTATATGCAAATATTGACTTATTGAAGTAACTCTAATTATACCTAAACAGTATTTGTCAAACATTCAAAAGGTAAAAATTAGAATTAATACATATACCCTCTGTTTTGTTTATTCTTAAAATTTATTTATCAAATTCTTATGTGCAAATCATAGAGTATTATGCGAAGGTCTTTGTTTGTTATCTTTGATTATCTACTTCGAAGTTATTGTAAATAATCAGTTGAAGTTAATTTAATTCAATTTGATGCTCATCTAATTATTGATTTGCAATTGTATATAATTTATTACTCCATTTAAAAGGAGATGTACTTTCTTTGTCTCTTTTCATTAAATTTATTAAAATTTGACTGTGTTAGATTATTTTATTTTTAATTACTTGAAAGTGATGTATTTGTTTTTAGTTTAGGCTTTTCTTATCAATGCTAGAAGACTATATCCTAAAATAGGATGAGTTTGGGATGAAAGTACCTATACTTGCAGTATTTAAAAATAATAATATTATAAAATTGTATTTTGTAATGAAAGTACCTATACTTGCAGTATTTTAAAAAAATAAATATTATAAAATTGTATTTCGTAAAAAAAAAACATAAAAACTGACATTTGAAATTTAACGAAAAAAAAAAGTAATGCAATAGAAACTGTGAATTGACATAAAACACACAAGTTTAATATAAAAAATAAAAAAAACAAAAAAAAACATACCAATTAACAATTTATTTTCATTTTAATTGATATATAATTTAAGAAGTTCTCAATATTTTATACTTTATTTCATTGAAGTTTAATTTTAATTGCATAAAAAATTTATATTATAAATGCATGATTGAAACATAAAACCTATTGTTATTACTTATGTGTTATATAAACTTAATTTATTAACTATTAAAAAGCTAATTAAAAAACAAATATGCGTGAAAACAAAATCAATTCTGATTATTTTCTTATGCATAATTATATATTTTAGTCTAATCTTAATTATTATTAGTTTAAAAGTCCCTACACACACATTAATGGAAAAAATAGTTTTAGATAAAACAATTTTATAACTCTCCATCCTTTACAACGGAGTCCTATAATCAATGAATAACTGTGTTGATAATCTTTTATTTTATCAGTAGTTATCTTAATATAACCTATAATCTATAAGTTCTATCTTTACCTATATATAAAATAATCAAACTAATAATAATAATAATAATAATAATAATAATAATAATAGATTTCTGTTTAAATTAAACTAATAATAGTAATAATATAATATAATAATACTAATAATAATGTATTATTTTATTTTAAAAAAAACAGCCAACTAAATATGTCCTTTTAATCTTTATTTTGAAAAAAAAATAGTAATAATTATCCAACTAAATAGGAAGTTTTAAAACTTCCCATTAACTATTGATAATCTTTTATTTTATCAGTAGTTATCTTAATAGAACCTATTATCTGTAAGTTCTATCTTTACCTATATATAAAATAATCAAACTAATAATAATAATAATAATAATAATAATAGACTTCTGTTTAAATTAAACTAATAATAATAATATAATGTAATAATACTAATAATAATGCATTATTATTATTTTTTAAAAACTGCCAACTAAATATGTCCTGTCCTTTTAATCTTTATTTTGAAAAAAAATAGTAATAATTATCCAACTAAATAGGAAGTTTTAAAACTTCCCATTACACTGTCACTTCTAAACAAATTGAAGAACTTTTAAATTATAATTATTTATTTTAAAATAAATCACGTATGGAAAAATTACGGGTTTTTAATCTTTATTTTGAATTAAAAAAAATACCCAACTAAATAGGGAGTTTTAATACTTCCCATGACACTCCTACTTCTAAACAAATTGAAGAACTTTTAAATTAAAATTATTTATTTTAAAAACCCCAAGTACGGAAGTTTCTTTTAAAATTTACATTTAAATATCATTTAATATTTTAAGTTTTATTTCAGATTTTTTTTTTTGCATTTTAAAATAAATATTTTCTTAATAACATATAACCTTTTATCTAAAAAATATAACTGATGATAATGATAATGATAATGATAATAATAATAATAATAATAGTAATAATAATAATAATAATAATAATAATAATAATAGTAATAATAATAATAATAATCCAAGTATAATGTTATTATAAACATAATTTAACAATTTATTTTCATTTTAATTGATATATAATTTAAGAAGTTCTCAATATTTTATACTTTAATTCATTGAAGTTTATTTTTAATTGCATAAAAAAATTATATTATAAATGCATGCTTTAAACATAAAACCTATTGTTATTACTTATGTGTTATATAAAATTAATTTATTAACTATTAAAAATCGAATTAAAAAAAATATGCCTGAAAACAAAATAAATTTCGGATTATACTCTTATGCATAATTATATATTTTAATCTAATCTTAATTATTATTACTTTAAAATTTCCTACACACATGAATGGAAAAAATAGTTTTAGATAAAACAATTTCATAACTCTCCATCCTTTACTACGGAGTCCTATAATCAATGAAAAACTGTGTTAATAATCTTTTATTTTATCAGTAATTATCTTAATATAACCTATAATCTATAAGTTCTATCTTTACTTGTATATAAAAAAAGCCAAACTAATAATAATAAATTTATGTTTAACTTAAACTAATAATAATAATAATAATAATAATAATGTATTTTTTTTAAAAAAAAAAAAACCATCCAATTAAATATGTCCTTTAATCTTTTTGAAAAAAATAGTAATAATTATCCAACTAAATAGGAAGTTTTAAAACTTCCCATTACACTCCCACTTCTAAACAAACTAAAGAACTTCTAAATTAAAATGAATTATTTTTATAAAAAAAAAACACATATGGAAAAAAATATGGTGTTTTAATCTTTATTTTGAATAAAAAAAATACCCAACTATAAACAAATTGAAGAACTTTAATATTAAAATTATTTCTTTTACAAACCCTGAGTATGGAAGTTTCTTTTAAAATTTATCATTTAAATATCATTTAATATTTTAAGTTTTATTTCAGATTTTTTTATTTTAAAATAAATATTTTTTAATAAGATATAACCTTTTATCTAAAAAAAATAGAACTAATAATAATAATAATAATATAATGATAACGATGATAATAATAATAATAATAATCCAAGTATAATGTTAGTATAAACAATATTTAATGTCTTCTGTGTTTATTATTATTATTATTATTATTATTATTATGTATTTATTTATTTATTTTTACAGATTTTCAACCCTAGCACAAGATAAATGAGGAATTGTCTCTATCACTATCATAACATAGAAGGCATTAAGTTATGTTTTCATAATATTACTTTTAAAGGACAATCAAATTTCAAAATTTCAAAACAATATTATGAGAAATAAAATTTAAACTTGAATTAAGATAAATAATATTTATCTATATCTAGCTAGTGTTGAATTCTATCTTGAACAATATCACTATTATAAGTCATTTAGCAAATTTAAGACTATTCACAATATATATAACAAAATTAAATTAAGTTGAAAATTGCAATTTTAAAATACACTATAAGTTTTTAATTTTCAATTTTTAACTTTTTAAATTTGAATTCAAAGATAACTATCCATATATATATATATATATATATATATATATATATATATATATATATTATATTACAATAAATTAAATTGTGTACTAACAATGTAAATTTAATATTGCTCAAATACACAAGTTAATGATTTGTATTATTATATTGTTATTATAATAAATTAAATATATTATTAAGTGCATTATATATTTTATTAGTTATTTTTAATTATAAAATTATTACATTTTAAATCATTCGCGCAACGCGTGGGCACGTATACTAGTATATTAAAATAGACACAAGTGTATAAGTGTGAGCAAACATGTATGTTTAAAGGAACATTATACAATAACTACTAATATTATACATTTATACAACTACAATTGTATAAGCAAACAGTAAAAGACATGAATTAACACAAAAAATATAAAAATAATGATTATACAGTCCAATGACCCACATGATTATACAGTCCAATGACCCACATAATTATACAGTCCAATGACCTACAAACAACAACTTCAGTTTTATCATTGTGAACAGTATAAACATCAGTTTTATCTTCCCTTTTTTTTACTTGACCCAAAAATAAGTGTATAAGTGTGAGCAAATGTGTATGTTTAAAGGAACATTATACAATAGCTACTAATATTATACATTTATACAACCACAATTGTATAAGCAAATAGTATAAGACATGAATCAACACAAAAAATGTAAAAATAATGATTATACAGTAAATGACTGAAAAAAATAAGTTATATATACATATACATTTAAATTGAAAGAATTGAAAAAAATTAATAGAATGAGATAAGTTTTGACAGTATCTGAAAATTTTAAAGTAATATTTCTCTTTTGAAAACGAGACGAGGACGTGCTGGAGAAATTTGTAATTTGAAATTGTATTTGGAGGGAAGATTTGGGAGAATTTGAAGAAAATAGGAGAAAACATTGTATAAAAGAAAGGAAAAAGGAAAAAACGTATGTTTTATTTTTTTAATAAATTAATACAAATCGATGGGGCCCTATAATAGCAAAGTGACCGAAATTTTGCTTATTAAAAGAAATAACTGAAACGATAGTTAGTGTATTTAATTAACATTATTAGTTTGCCAATTATCCCATTCTTAATTCATACATTATAAGTTCCCCATAATTTTGTTAGTGAAACCAAATCCTTTTCCATAAATAAAACATCCAACTGAAAGCAAGTTGCAAATCATATAAATATATGGGCTATATCGAACTTTAAATATTCATAAGGGATCTGTCTTTCAAAGTTATATAATCCTCTTTTAGAGCTAGGGTTTGCTCAACTTTCTTCATAGTTCTACTCTCTGCTTCGTTTCTTCATATTCCAGAAACCCGCCGGAAAGTTGATAAGTTCTCATCCTATCAACAATGGTAGGATTTGATCTTGGCTCCGTACCGTTCAATTCTGACGGATGGGGTCCACCGGATTCTTCCGTCTCCGTTGCAAACCAAATCTCTAACGCCCCTTTTGCCCCTTTCTCCCGCTCCGACAAGCTCGGCCGGATCGCTGATTGGACTCGCTCTCTCTCAAACCGACCTGGATCCAACTCGAAGCAAAACCCTACTGATTCCGCTTTCGACTTCTCCGGTGACGACTCCTTCGCTACACTCACCGCCGACGAAGATTCATCTTTCCGTCTCGTTGATACTGCCGCTAAATCCCATCACCATGGACAACATCGTCCGAAGTTCAACCCTAGGTGGCGGTTCAATCCTCATAATAACCGTTCTCAGCTTCCACAGCGGCGCGACGAGGAAGTCGAAGCCAAAAAACGTGAGCAAGAGAAAGAAAGAGCCCGTCGGGACAGATTGTATAATCTCAATCGTTCAGGCACCAATGCTGGCCAGAGAAGAGAATCTGCGGTGTTCAAGTCATCAGTTGATATTCAGCCTGAATGGAACATGCTTGATCAGATCCCGTTTTCTACCTTCTCAAAGCTTTCGTTCTCCGTTCCAGAGCCTGAAGACCTGCTAATCTGCGGTGGCCTTGAGTTTTACGACCGGTCCTACGACCGTATTACTCCAAAGAACGAACGTCGTCTGGAGAGGTTCAAGAACAGGAATTTCTTCAAAATTACTACTACTGATGATCCTGTTATCCGCCGTTTGGCTAATGAGGATAAAGCTACTGTTTTCGCCACAGATACAATCTTGTCTACTTTAATGTGTGCTCCCAGGTCTGTTTACTCATGGGATATTGTTGTTCAGCGTGTTGGGAATAAGTTGTTTTTCGACAAGCGTGATGGGTCACAGCTGGATTTGCTTTCTGTGCATGAAACTTCGCAAGAACCATTACCTGATGTGAAGGATGATATCAATTCAGCTTATTCTTTGAGTGTCGAGGCTGCTTACATCAATCAGAATTTCTCGCAACAGGTGCTGATTAGAGATGGGAAGAAGTTGAGTTATGATGAGCCAAATCCGTTTGCAACTGAAGGGGAAGAGGTGGCATCGGTGGGTTACAGATATAGGAGGTGGAAGTTGGATGATGATACATATTTGGTGGCACGATGTGAAGTGCAGAGTGTTGCTGAAGTGAACAACCAGAGATCATTCCTGACTCTGAATGCCTTGAATGAGTTTGATCCTAAGTACTCTGGTGTTGACTGGAGGCAGAAGCTGGAGACACAAAGGGGTGCTGTGTTAGCTACTGAGTTGAAGAACAATGCTAATAAACTTGCTAAATGGACTGCACAAGCACTGTTAGCTAATGCTGATATGATGAAGTTGGGTTATGTATCAAGAGTTCATCCTAGGGATCATTTTAACCATGTGATATTAGCTGTTGTAGGATATAAGCCTAAGGACTTTGCTACACAAATTAATTTGAACACATCAAACATGTGGGGTATTGTGAAAAGTATTGTGGACTTGTGTATGAAGTTGAATGAAGGGAAATATGTGCTTGTTAAGGACCCAACCAAGCCACAAGTTAGAATTTACGAGGTGCCTCCAGATGCGTTCGAGAATGACTATGTTGAGGAGCCATTGCCAGAAGATGAACAGGTTCAGCCTCCTACAGAAGATGCACAAGGTGCAGAGGCAAACGCGGCTGCAAGTGAAGTAGAGGAAAAGGAGACTAGCACTGAGGCTGCATAAGGGTAATCTGATACTGCACTTGCATGATAGTCCTTACTCTCAATATTAATCTCCTGTTCTTGTAGTTTTAAGAACAATTGCTATATTAGTTTTCTGCCATTTGTAGTTGTTTTTTTTTATTCTATGCCTGTATGACACTTCAGTTTCTTAATGATTTTAACATTTGCAATTTCTAGTTCAAAGATTTCTCGTCGATAATGTTGTTTCTTTTGAAGAAGGTGAAAAGTTGATCATCCATACATATAGCTTGAAGTAGATTTCATCTTCCCTTTATTATGTCTCCTAAGAATCATTTGATGAGCTAAATAGGTAACCTGCTTGATAGCTTCAATATTTTCTTGATAGCTTTTCACTTATGACTTCTAGGCCATGTAATTGCCTATTTATTTGTGTAGTATCTGAGGATATTTTCCTACTCTTTTTCCTCCAAGTGTGTGAAGTCCCTTAAAAGGAGGAAACTGAATCATTGGATTTGTAAATGAGACTATAAAAAACTGTGGAGAGCCATGAAAAATGTGAAAGTTGAAAAAACTGTGTCAATGTCACTGCAGGGGGTGTCATTATTTGGTAGAAAAGGACATTTTGTGATATAAGTGGATGTTGCATAGGGGGTGATGACTATACAAGATTATTCTTTGAGAGAGACTACACACGACTCTCTTTGAGAAAAGCTAATACAAGTCTCTTGCTTGCTTCCAACTACTTCTCCCCCTATTTATGAACAAAAAGAAGTCCTTAGTTACTAGATTTGACAAGAAATTACAACAAGTATGCATCAGTATGTTGGTTGGAGTTGGCTTTATGGAACCTTAATTTCATAAGCACTCTCTCTGTATGGGTCCATATATTTCAATGTGTGGTGGTACTTAAGACTATATAGTACAAGTGTTCTCTAATACACTAGTGGTTTTATCTCTATTCTCTGACATACTGAGTCATCTAGTAAGCACTAGTCTTCTAGATTGTATCACTTGTATGGATTTTCATTTGTCATTATTTTATATTTTTTGCTAGATCTACATAGACTCTTAGATAATTTTAATTTTTTAAGACAACTCCTTTCCATGTGATTTCAAGTCGAACTCTTCCTCTTATTACACCTTTAATCATCTTATTTTCTCTTCTAAGAAACAGTTCATCTGGAAGACTACCTATTACGTGTCCTATCCATCTCAAGCAACATTCTCTCATTTTGTCCTCCATATGCGCTACTGCACCTTCTGACAGTTGTGGACATTTCTTATCATAGCTAATCTTGTATGACCACACGTTCATCTTATAGTTCGCCTCTGAAACATTAATCTTGTGGATTTTCGGCTTTAGACATTGTGACAAGAAATTGCTTCAAATAGAGTATACATGACACTTGTATGCAATAAAATGGTCTTGATATCTTTTTCCTTAGAAGATGGACTTGATAGTTGATACTTAAATTGAGGGACTTCAGCTTTTTTAGAGCATTGTGGCTCTAATGAAGTTTCTAGTAAGTTTGTTGGAGCAGCCTTGTAGGGACAAGAGCTTTGTTATGGGTTGTGTGTTGCTGGGGCGGCCTGTTGAATGTGTGCATGGGCACTGCCTGTTGGCTGATGCAGTGGACCCTGGGCATTGTGGGCCGGAGCTGTAGTAGGTATGGAAATAGTTGTAAATCCGCATGTTCAAGCATGATTAGGTTGGAAGGTTATCCATGACACAGGGGGCATTAGAGGCTTCACGTAGTCGCATGTGTAACTGGCTGCGACCCATGATTCATGGGATAATGGTAATAACTTAAATGCATCCCATGAGTTACTGATTAAGAAAATGGCGCCCCATGAGTACTGTTACTCTCTGTTATGTATGGACCGTTGCATTACATATAGAAACTGTACTTAGCTCTTTGTGAAACCTCATGGGCATGAAGTATATGCATGCCAACTAGAAGAATTAAGAGTGTTGACAGAAGATTGTACCATAACAGATGTTAAAGAGAAGCTTAATGCAAAGCAGAATTAGTTTCCCTTCTTGAAGCTAGTTATGGCAGTTCCTTGATCTGCTGTTGGTAGCCCCTTCGAGTAGGAGTCTTGGGGTTCACGGCATATCTGTATCCATTTTACTTGTTCCCTCTTCCTTCCCTCAGATTCTCATGGAACTTGATTTTTTAAGTGGTTACTGCTTGAACTGAATAGCTACAACGCTCATTTGTAAGTCTGTTCTGTTACCTGTGGCCATGTGGAAAATCTGTGGTGGTTGTATCAAACTGCATGCCAGGTTTCTCGTTTCTGTGCCTTATTTATTTGAATAACGAGTAGTTGCACTCAATGGTGAACTCTTGTTTCTATAATTTTATTTGAGATTATTACAGAGAGATTTTATAAAGAATGCCAAATTTTCCCCTTGATAACCCTCTTCCTTCTTCCTGTTTGAATACTATCTGATTGTTTAATTGTGATCCAGGTTGTCGTGGAATAAAGTGGTATTGCTTGAACCTCTTGTAGATCTTGAGCTTTCTCTTATCAACAGCTTTGTGAGGTGACTCTGCTCTGGTGTCTGTCTAATCAGATTAGAAACAGGAAGGCATCATCTTGTTGGAGAGTGTTTTTTTTACCATCTTAGCAAACTTGTTCGGCTTCATTTCTTTCCCACCTGTTGTGGTTTAGATAATTTTGGACCTTTTGTCAAGGCTAATTTTGTGATAGGATTCTCTTTGACTTGAATGTTTTAAAGAAAACACCTTTTAATTATACATTTTAGTTAATGGATTATTGACCTTTTAGCCCTGGGAGACTGGTCTAATGGCCAGAACATAATGCGCGTAAGATGCATCATGTGTTCAAATCCACCTTGTGTGAAGTATAAGCGGGCGATGTGTATTATCCATCTATTTCAACACTTTGCGTCCCTAATTTGAGGATTTTTCGGTTATATAGAGAAGAATTACATGAAGATATAATAAATTGACAAAAACTTAATTATGCAGCTTTTGGATTATGAATTTTATAAGTAGTTTATAATAATATTGAAATATACTGATGGAATCCTGTAGGTGTAGTTGCTAGTATAGGTGTTTTTACCATCACAATCTGTACTTCAATGATCGAAGAAAGAAGAAAGAGAGTCGGATCACGTAATGAAAAATATTTGGGAGAAATCGTGTTAACCGCAAGAAAATTGTAAAGTTAACCATTAAAACTAGAAAATTCAACAGAGAATCAAGAGAAAAGAGTTGGCAACTAGGATTATTTATTTATTTTGTTATTCAACATGCTATATATTTGTTTTATTTTTCATTCAGGTTCGATATTCATGAATCATGCCCTATAGAACTCCATTTGGGAGTAGTATTTTTTGTCAATAATTTTTTCATATTCAGAGCTTGAACCTAACGGCTATATACTTGTTATTAAATCTGCAAACGGTACTATTTAATAAGATATATTATGACTTTTATATATACGTCGTAAACGGGTAAAATTTACTAAAATATATTTTCACAAATAAACCCAAAGTGAAGCTTACTTTTTTTGAACCCCAATTAAACTTTTAATCGAGTCAAAAACGATGTCTAACCCGCCGAATTGACCGAAGAAAATGGAATTGGAAAAAAAGAAAGATATAGCACACCCTTAAACTTGATCTCAACTACGTAATAATTAAACATGTTAATTGTAGCAGTATATATCTAGACACTTTACCTCTAAGATTGAACTTAGGTGTCTGTTTATGTATTATACTGAAATATTTTAATAAAAATAACAAAGAATCGCACCGCAACAAAAAGAGTGAACAAGCCGTGGTTTTTGTCTTGGTACTTTTGAGAAATAGGTAGCGGTCCATAAATGAAAGGCAGAGTCACAAAAAGACGAAACTGTTGACAAAAACAAGAAAAAACTACAAAACAACAGGAACAAATAGCTAGGGGCGGCGTTGGTAACTTGTGCTGTCTAACCCAATATATTTATGTTAAATAAATTATTATATATATAAAAAAATTATAAAGTTAAAATAAATTTATTATTATTATTATTATTATTATTATTATTTAAATTGGAGAGGGAAAGAGAAAATAGAGGAGGGGATTTACAATATTAGAATCATACCCTCATCGATAAGGTGAGTGAGAGTTTAAGTAGTTAATCAATTAAATAATTAAGATTTTCTCAAATTTATTAATTAAGATATTCAAATGAACGTATCATGTCTGCACTCTTCACAAATTAAATTAATACTCCTTCTATTTCTTTTTAGTTGTCACAATTTTAGATTTCATGTTTCTTAAGAAATTATATAACTTTATCATTGTATTTTTATTTAATGTTCTCGTAAAAGAAAGTTTTCAATCAATGAATATGATTTAGTTTATTTTGATTAATTAATTGATCAATACACATGAACTATTTACTTAGTTTTTCTATATTGAACAAATATATACATTAAAAAATTCTATTATTTATACATTAATTTTGTGAAACGATAAGTATTTAAAAATGCCTATTTTTAACAATGATGACATGTAAATTAGAAAAAAGAAGTATAAACATGAACTAAATCGAAAGCTCCTGGATTCACCACATATTTCCTGAACCAACTGCTTTTGTTTGCCCCTTGTTTTCTTATATTAAATAAATATCACAGAGTATAGTATTTAAGTCACACCGGCTTTTAATACTACTACTATTCACCTACTTTTGATTGCTTATAAATTAGGAAAAATTTGTGTGCCTTGAATTCATTGTATCAAACAAAGGAAAAATCTTGAAAACCTCTTTCATTAGAATTTTTTTTATCAAATGGCTTCTCTCGTTCTTTTGTTAGCTGAGCTTCTTAGACATGAAAATACCGATTATTTAACTTCACCTTCTTCTTCTTCTTCTTCAGTTGCTGATTCTTGTGCTGTTGTGGCTGCCAAAGGAGTTTCCAACCAAAGGGTATTCAACAATTCCTCAACTAATTTCAACACTGACTTCAATTTAGCTGAGGATTTTGAAGAACTTCCCAAAATTTGTGTTGATTTTGTTTGGCCTTAAGAGTATTGTATTGTAATTATTCACTAATTTATTATATATGTCACCATCTTATCTTTCTCCTCGAAATACATCTTATTTCTTTGCTGTTT